TTCAATTGTTTTTCAACTTTAAACAACTTTGGTATAACAGTTTGCAATAATCAAAAAAAAAGTTGATTATCCTCAATCAACATTTGTCGATTACACGTATATATATGCTCAATTACCAATTCTGAAAAAAATACTTAAAAAAATATACATAAATAAGTATGTTTTCATGCAAAACTGTAATCATCTTTACTTTTATCATAAAGAGATCAAAAGAAAGAAACAATAATCACATTTTTTTGTACAGTTTTTAATCAACTACACTCCTCAAAAGTATAATCAACGAAAAAAAAATACAACAAAAATTTTGTTATGTACGTCTAAAAATGTAACAATTTACTGTTTTGCAGATGGGGAAAACTGTTATGTAAGATTTTCAAGTGTAAATTAGTTGTATAAATTAGTCAATTAAAGAGCGATGAAATATCTGTTATGGTTTACCGCAACAGTGTAACTGGTTACCGTTCTGTAAGTGTCAATCGCCAACTTCTGTAAGAAAATTTGTTAACAATCTAAAAATCTAATCTACGCTTAAAAAATTATAAACTGTTTAAAAGATATACGTTTTCACTTGGTAATCACTCTGAACACACGTCCTAAAAAACAAAGTTTTGGTGCATTAGAAATGGCGTCTAGACTTTTGTGGTGATTTGTTTTCTGCAGATACAAACACCTATTAAAATAATTTTAAAAGAATTTTTGGACCTTTGAAAGACTACACAGCTTTTAAACCTTAGACAATTTATTTACAAAAATTTGACTAGTTGTCTAACAACTAAGATAAGAAAAGCTGTTATGTAGCATATACATTTCTGATGCATATTTCTCATCAAAAACAAGCGTTAAGCCACTGAATACCAGCGTCCTCTTCACAGCACTGTTTCACTGCAGTTAAAAATTATCATAAAGTTTTAAATTTTAAAATTTTACAGGTTAAAAACCTCAAAAATTAACTTTGCGACCAAAATTTTTGCGAGCCAAATAAAGATGGTGTACGTGTTGCACAGTTTCTTCATGTTAGGAGGTATCAAAATAATTTAATTTTTTTGTGTTACATTTATGAACATTTGCAAGGAAATTTTTTCATTCTCAGGAAACGTCAGCTGTATTCTATTAAAAAGTAGCTGCTTATAACTTAGTAACATGTTGGTATTGTCATGCCTAAAAAGTCGATAAAATACTTAAGACACTCAAAAATTACAGTCAAGATACTTATTATTATTTGCTGTTTCAGTCAGCATCAGTTTCTTGTAAAACTTGCAGAGCTGTTTTTAAATTCTTGAGATTAAAAAACAAATCAGTTATTAGAGCAGTTAAAGGACAACTGCTAAATAAATTCAAGAAGAGGTGCTGTATAAAATAAGATAAGTGAGAAAACATGTTCTGTTACTGTGTGCTTTGTCATCAAATTGGTTTTTTACTGCTTTTTGTTGTATTTTCCCTCTTTTTAATTTTCAAAAAGGATTATTTTTTGATTGTACACCGAGTCTCTGCGAAATTTTACCAGAGCTTCCATGTACGTGTAAAGAAATGTTGAACCTTCGGTAATCGTAGCACTTTTCAATGCTAGACTTCCACATTAGAACTATGTCATAAATTTGAGCAGTATCCACAAAGACCGCCTAAGTATTTCTTTATTTTCTTTCCTTTTCACAGTCGAGTGACACAGTCGTTTGTATTTATACATAATTTTCCAAACAATACATAAGTCGTTCAAATATATACAAACACCGATGAAACCATGATAAGTCGCTTTTAAAAAAGATGAAAATTTTTTGCCGATTTTTCTTTTCAACTTCTGAAAATAATTTTCGGCTAACCAAATAACTCCTTCGGCTACCTGCTCTATTTGCGGCAAGGGCAGCAGCATGGAGAACAGCAAGATGGCTGACAGCAGCATCCTGGGCACTGAGAACAACAGCACTGTGGGGCACCGCATGATTGGCAGCAGCTGCTAGATTGCTGAGATACGCAAGCACAAATTGGCGATGGTTGTACCTGACAGGTTACTGGAGCCGGTTGGATATTCAATGGAACCGGGGCAGGTTGGGCTACGAACGATACTGGGCAGGGCTGAACGGTGCAGCAGACTGTAGGAGTATCAATTATGCATGACGAAGAAGGTTGGCAGCAGCAGCAGCAGGAGGGTTGACAGCAACATCTAAAACAGGCTGCAGCTGTACTGCAAACTGCTTAATTACTAAAAGCAAAATTTTTTTGGATCCAACGAACTCATCAAAAGTTTTGTAGACTTTTAACGAACCCGCAGCATCGTTTAGTTCTCATCATGTTGGCATTAACACTTCGTCTGCGTCGTCGGCATGGACAACAGCAAGGGGAGCAGCAAGATGGTTGACAGCAGCATCCTGAGCACTGAGAACAGCAGCACTGTGGTGCTCCGCACGATTGGCAACAGCTACTGGACTGTTGAGATACGCAAGCACAAATTGGTGATGGCTGTACTTGACAGGTTACTGGAGCCGGTTGGATATTCAATGGAACCGGGGCAGGTTGGGCTACGAACGATACTGGACATGGTTGGACCGTACAGCAAACAGTTGGTGTATCAATAACACAAGACGATGATTGACCACAGCAACATGGATTACTAAAAACAGTTTCTCTCTGTATACTCATTTTTCTCTTTCAAAAAATATTTGAAGCTAACAGTAGAGCTACCAGCAGCAACAGCATCTGCAAGTCCTGTTGTTTTCCTTCTGACCGTTGTTAACTGTGTAACTCATGTTGGCATCCTGATAACGAGTTGCGTTTGTTGAAGCTGTAAGATTTGCTGGTGCGCCCTAAAACTACGAGAGTAATAACTGACCAAATTCGCTTACAAACCTAGAAATTTTTGGCAGTAATCTACTGTGAAAAATGTGAAAAAAAGTGTGAAATAATTTACACCAGGAAGAAAAGAAAAAATTAAGTAAGAAAGTAAGAGGAAAAAATGATGAGTACAATGAGGTTATACCATTGAGTAGGCAGCTAGCAGAAGGAAGAAGAAGAAGGAAGCAGGAAGGAATGCCATTGCTGATGTTCTGATGTTGCTAAACCGAAATCTGAGGCTTTTATATACCTTAATGATTACATTCTGGTTTTATTTGTTTTTTCAGTTTTTTCTTCCAATTAGACAGATACTGCTGCATTGGTGACGTCTGCTGTTTACCGTGGCGTTTCAATTGTTTACATAAAAAAACTAAAAAATAGTTTTGGACACTAAACAGTCAGCAATTAGTCCTCCTTCCGATTAGTTATTTTTCTTTTCTTCGCATTTTTTCATCTTTTTAATATTACTTGAACTGTTTATAATTTTTTGAAGAAGATCTATAAAGATGCGAGAAAATGCTTTAATCTGTCTTTTTTTACCGTACGTTAATGATTTAGAAGAAGAAGAAGAAGTGATGTTTAAAGTCGACAATTTGAATTATAACAGTTTAATAAGTTTGTTGTTATAATTGTGCAAAAAATTATACTGCACTGGAAGTAGCATAAATTTATAATTATTAAATTAAGTATATGTATAAAGTGTTTGATTGTAAAGCAGAAAAATTTGATGATTTTATAGCTGTAAACTGCATTGTTCGTTAAAAAAACTAATAAAACAGCAAATTAATTGTGAAAGTTTCTTTACATGTTTTTTTTTTTTTTT